TAGAACCCGATATTTTGGAAAAAATTGAAAATGCTGTTTTCTTAATTAAAAAAAAAAACGATAATTTCGAAAATTCTTAAAATCTATTCCTTTTTTATTTTTGACCAGATTCTGTGAGCTATTTTACATAGAAAATGACCATAACATTCACGATTTTCAACTGTTTTCTTAAACACTTTATTCCCTGAATGCATATGGTTTTCTAAGTTTTCAAATGCAACGTGCAAGTTATCATATTCGAATAAAATTTTGCAGCTTATTTTTAGACCAAAATATATTTTTTTGTATTAATTGCTATGAATCTGTCCGATCCACAAGCAATTACATTTTTCGATTTGAATTTTGAGGTAGCACACTCTGCGATATCGTCGCTTGAATAAAAGATTGTCGTAAGCACCATTTTGACGACTTTTATGGGTTATGTGAAGTGTGGCCGAATTCGGTCCAGCGGTTCATGATATATGACAGTTTATGTCTGTCACATGAACCACGTATATGGTACAACAGCAGATACATGGAAAATCGAAAACAGTGAAAAATAGTTGCTATGATGTGCTGTGTTTATTTTTTCTTCGGATAAATTAAGTCAAGTATAAACATGGCTGCAAGTTTTTCAATAGGGATTTTGTAGAGCCAATGGAATGAAAGTCACCACAACACAACATATCTGTCATTTCATCGTATTATCGAATAGGTGGAGTACATTGATATTCGCTCTTTCTATTTTGGACTTTGGAGAATCAACACAATGCAGAATTTACGTGGAAATCAACAGATTTTTGGTGGTGCTTTGGTATTATTGTCAGGTGACTTTCGACAAATATTGCCCGTGATTCCACGATCAACACCGGCAGATGAGATCAATGCATGCTTGAAGTCTTCCCCTCTGTGGCGATATGTGCAAAAATTGACATTACACATAAACATGCGTGTTCAGTTGCACAATAATCAATCTGAAGATCGGTTCTCGAAGCAATTGTTAGAGATCGGAAATGCCAAAGTTCGAATCGATAATACAAATGGCTTAATTACATTGCCGAAGAATTTTTGTACAATTCTCCAATTAAAAGAAAAATTGATTGAACGCGTGTTTCCAAATATTGCTCAAAATTACCTGGATCTCGATTGGTTGAGAGAACGCGCAATATTGGCACCAAAAAATGTGCATGTCAATTCAATCAATTATCAAATTCTAGAAAAATTGCCAGGTGGAGTGACAACATATAAATCTGTTGATAGCGCAAGGAATCAAGATGACGCAGTGAATTATCCAGTTGAATTTTTGAATTCATTGGAACCGCCTGAAGGGGCGCGAGCAACGCCAGGCTCCTCAGTACACCCTGGAAAGTGTGCGCTCATTAGAACCTCACGCATTTCCTCTTGGGATGATGTCCAGTCGCCATTCGGTTTCTGAATAAACATTGGGTTCGTCGGATTTTTGGCATGCACTTTTCGCAAGCGATTACCCTCCGATTGTTCATCTATGCTATCACAATAATCCTTCCAGGAGTCCCTATGGGCTTTCCTGCTGGCACTCTTAAATTTCTTCAGGGCTACTTTGTAAGCATTGAAGAGTTTCCTGCTTTCCTTCCATAAATAGGCGATTCTTTGGTCCACCAGTGTGGCTTCCTCTTTCCTCTCGGAAGTACAATTGGGCATAACGCAGAGAAGGCCGTAATCTACGGCTTCTTCAATTTGTTGCAATGAGCTTAACTAGCCGAGAGAAGCAAGGTCTGCGAATATAGGCTCCACTTCATCAAATGGGTAACAGTAAGCCGAGCCTACTGAGAGAAGCGTCGTTGGGCAAAGACTCCAATAGTACCTACCTATAGTCCAGTCGGTACGTCTCTTGTTTTTATACAGAACCGGAACCGGAGATTCTAAAGAGATTTCGAATGATAGGTACATATGATCAGAGAATGAATGATCGTTTATTACATGCCATTCCCTAATGCTCCCCAAGAAAAAATTTGGACGTTAAAGTAATATCAAGTACCTCCCTCCTGATTGAGGTAACAAAGGTGGGTCTGCAACCAATATTACAAATAACTAGATTATAAGATAGTATGAAATCAAGTAGTAACTCACCTCTAGAGTTGATGTTGTTAGAACCCCATAACGAGTGGAAAACTTCCTAAAATTGGCCTCTTTCACCACGTCCAGGAACCTAGCGGGGGCAGTCTTGGCGATCGTGAGCCATATAGGTTGAGACCAACCAGAGTTTAGCAGATTTGCCCTTCACATTGATGCTCACCGTGTCTTCATCGCTAAAATGAGTGAGTAAATTATAAGAAATAGTTTTCTTATTTAATATACATGCTCTGATCCTACCTGCCACTGGGGCCGACACAACGTGGTAAGCATCAAAGTTAAGTCCGCAGACCCTTTGTTTTACAACCCAGGGCTCTTGGACAAAAATTAGCTCCTCCCCTTTGTCACTAAGGTGCAGGAGCAGAGCTGCGGAGTCTGCTTTGGAGTGGTGAAGGTTAGTTTGTAGGACCTTTAAGGAGTTGTCGCCTTCCATAGCTCCTGGCGCGGTCCCTTTGGACACCTCTACAACAGTACCATCGGCGTCCTCCGTTACCGATGCCAGAAACAGCTTCTCGAGATCCCTCGTCCAGTGACCAAAATCAGACCCGTCCCCAGAAGCGGATTGCGTATCACTTTCCGATTCTGATGCCGAGTCTGATTCCTCCGCCAGACGAGTGACCACGGGAACGTCCTGGACTTCTTGGCTAGAGGCAGGACCGCTCGAGTGGTTTTCTGGCCTACTCAAAATAAGGCCTTTTTCAGGTGGCAGATTATCGGTTTCACTCGCGGTGCTTCCCGGCTCAGGAATTCTTCTATACAACAAATGTGGGAAATTAAATTCTCTAAAAATTTTATGTAACCATTTTTTACGAAAAATGCAAAATAAGCTTGCAAATCGCAAAAAACCCCAAAAAAATAAAATCCAAGATGGCGGAATGTTGCCAAATGAAATTTAGGGGCCAGACCGTGGATCCATGATCTACGTGTGAATTAGAAGTAAACTGCATAAAAAAATCGCTGTTACATTTTTTTTTTCTTTTGAGAAAAAGTAATTTTACCGGTCTAATGTGCATAATCCTGCCACCGGAAATGATATTTTAATTGATTTTACGATCAAATGCGCTGTACGGTATCGGTACGTTGCTTGAATCCAATATCATTTACTAAACTACAACTTCTACTTTCAAATCGATTTGCATCTATATACTTTGAAATGAAATAAGCGTTAATCCCAGCAAGCACTGTCTCTAACGTTAGATAAATTTGGATTTCTACATTAGATAACTAGGGTAATTCTCTAATCGAGTCGATGACGAAGTTAGAGAACTACATTAGAATTCGATTCGTGAACGAGTAGAGAAACAACGCAAATTCCAATAAATGTAAATAAGCAATATTCCAAATGAATGAATCATAAATTATTTTTAACTTTAAATAATTCATTATTAATTTATTGCAAATACATTTAATAAAAATTTT